ATCGGTCGTGGCTGTACTATAGCTGCCCCTATCCCAGGCGGGGAGTTTAAATTATAGCGCTAGACACGAAATCATATATAAATGATGTGCGCAGTTTCGGTTTTGTCACTGATATCATTTATATATGATATGCGCGGTTTGAGGGTTAAAGAATTCTGATAAAGAAAGAGATCTAGGGGTGGTTCTAGGTAGAAAACTATCACCTGAGGACCACATAAAGAATATTGTGCAAGGAGCCTATGCTATGCTTTCTAACTTCAGAATTGCATTTAAATACATGGATGGCGATATACTAAAGAAATTGTTCATGACTTTTGTTAGGCCAAAGCTAGAATATGCAGCTGTTGTGTGGTGCCCATATCTTAAGAAGCACATCAACAAACTGGAAAAGGTGCAAAGACATGCTACTAAGTGGCTCCCAGAACTGAAGGGTAAGAGCTACGAGGAGAGGTTAGAAGCATTAAACATGCCAAAACTAGAAGACAGAAGAAAAAGAGGTGATATGATCACTACATACAAAATAGTAACAGGAATTGATAAAATCGACAGGGAAGATTTCCTGAGACCTGGCACTTCAAGAATAAGAGGTCATAGATTTAAACTAGCTAAACACAGATGCCGAAGAAATATAAGAAAATTCACCTTCGCAAATAGAGTGGTAGACGGTTGGAACAAGTTAAGTGAGAGGGTGGTGGAGGCCAAGACCGTCAGTAGTTTCAAAGCGTTAAATGACAAAGAGTGCTGGGAAGACGGGACACCACGAGCGTAGCTCTCATCCTGTAACTACACTTAAGTAATTACACTTAGGTAATTACTGTGTGTGTATGTGCACATGTGTATACGCACGTGTGTCACATATCTTGTGTGTGTGTGTATATGTGTGTGTACTTTTTCTTTCGGAAGGGGTTCTGTTCCCTTCTCTGTTGCCGGGGCGCTGGGGGAGCAGCTTGCTCTGTTGCCTCTCGCATGGTCCCGCTGTTGGTGGGCTTTGGGTTGTCTTCCGGCCTCTGGTGGCGTCGGTCGACGGCTTCTCCCCCTTTGGGGGGATTCAGCACTGGCTGGGTGGGCTTTTTCCCCTTCGCTTCGTCATGTCATCTTAGTGGGTGCGTTGGACGTGGTCGTTCCACCCCATTCTTCTGGGGTTCCCGTCTGCTCTTTGCAGTCATGAGCTTTTCCCATCTGCAGTTCTTCTGGACTTCTTCAGTCTGCGCCCTGGCTCCTATGCCTTCCTCGGAGGACTGTTGTCTCCTGTCCGGCTTCTGTTGGGGCCGGGTGCCTGGATAGTGGCCCTGGTCCTCCAGGTCACTTCTTGGCATGTTCCTCACCAGTTTTCTGGGACTGACAGTTGGTGGTGGGGCTTCAGGTTTGCTGTTTTTCTTGCCTTCCCTATTTGGTAATGGGCACTTGGTATAATTTTTGCATCTTTACCAGATCTTAGTACCCTGTCTGCGTCTGAGATTCGATGTCTGGCCTACCTCGACGACTGGCTGGTGTGGGCTCCCAGTCAGTCCGCTTGTCTGCTCGCCAAGGGTATGGTTCCTTCCAGATCGCCGGGTTTGGTTTCCTGGTGATCTGGAAGCTTTTCCATCTGTTTCTGTCCCGGGTTCGGACCTGGGCCTTGTTTAGGGCTATTGGGCCACTCATTGTCTTTCCCTCCAGAAGTGTTACTGCGTCTGTGGTCCCGCCTTTGGCTGTACATGAGGGGGTCCCGGGTTGCTCAGAGGTTGCTTGAGTGGATGTGCAGGAGTCTGAACTTCGGCGTGCTGGGCTGCCCGCGGAGTCGGGTTTGGCTTCGGCGTCTGTTTGGTTCCTTCGGAGACTCCCCTTCCGCCTCTTGCATTCGTTGGGTTCGTTCCTCCGGGGATCTTGTGTTGGTGCTGCGTCACCAGCTTCCTCTTTGGGGTTTTCGGGGTTCCGTGCCTTGGCACCTGCCCGAGCCTTCGCTCGATGTTTTCACGGACGGGTCATCTCTCGGCTGGGGCTTTGTGACCAGTGTTCACCAGGTCGGCCGAGGTTGGTGGAGTCTGTCCGTCCGTCGGGCTCACAGCACGGTTCGGGAGTTCGTGGCTGTCAGGTTTGCGCTTCGGAGGGTTTGGGTCACTCGGTGCTCTGCCATTCAGCTCTGTTTGGACTGTCTCTGGCGGTTCTTGCCAGAACCACAGGGGTTTGGCTAACCGTGAGGTTCAGTGGATGCTCTTCGGCAGGACTGGTCGAGGTGGGGGTACCTGTTCCTCTTCTCCCAGTCCAGCTGTTGCTTGGGGTTCTGGCTCGGTCGCAGCCCACTCCCACGAGAGCAGTCCTTATGGTTCCTTGGTGGCCGACCCAGCCTTATTTTCAGACGCTGCTTGATAGGTGTCCGAACCCGGGGCGTTTTCCCGCAACTCCGCCTCTTTCAGCAGGTCGAATTGGCCCTGTACGTGATTGGTTCGGCCTTCTCCTCAGCTCTTCGCATCTGGTATTTTGACGCGGGTTTCACCATCTCTATGGTGTTCTGGTGGCTTTGTTGACGGTGTCCCACCTGCGAGCTTTGTCTTGGCGACAGTATGACGTTTTGTACGCTTTCTCGTGTTTTGTTTCGCCTCCGGCCTGCTCATGTGTCGCCTGAGCCGTCCTGATCCTTGATCAGGGTGCCTTCTTATCTTCTCCCCAGTTTGTGGTAGCCCCTTCGGTTCAGGTTTCTGCTCTTTGGTACTGGTGGTAGATTTGTACGTGTGCAGCCTTTCTCCGTCCTGGCGACGATAGAGTCGGCTGCTTTCCGGAGGGGTTCTTGGGGTATTGATGCTTGATTGGTTTGGCCGGGGGTGCGTCCTGTGTTGTCCAGTTGTGTTTTTGCCGTTGCCGGCATACCGTGTCTGGGGATGCGCTGTGGTTGATCCAGTTCCCCTCGTTCCCTGTTTTCAGGGCTCAGGTCTCCCAGGTCGTCCGCAGATTTTTCATTCTTCCAGCCTGCGGTCTGTCTTTGTGCCCGTGCTGTTCAGACGTTTGCAGCTTTTGCTGCTGTGTTGGGACGTCTAGGGCTCATTTCGGGCGCAGGGATTTGAAAGTCACACAGGTTCTTGGCCACCCATTCTTTGTGCGTCTGCTCCTGTGCGTTCTTGTTGCCTTGGGTCGCAGGTTGCGACCTGTTGTCTCGGCTTTGCGTTGCAGAGTTTGTGGCGGCTGCCTCCCGGGTTAGCCCTTTCTTTTCCTTCTCTTTGGGTATGAAGCTCCAGGGAGCCGTAGGGGCTCCCCACAGAAAACCAGCGTTGAATGTAATGAAACGCCATTTTCTGAGTGAGCCCCGGAGGCTCCCTGGCAACCCTCCCTCCCACCGGTCGGCGGTTTTTTTTCGCGTTGGTTGAAGCTTAGCTTCCGAACTGAAGCTTGGCAGCTGACGCGGTAGGTCCGGGGCCCCCCCCTCCCCTTCTCGGGGCGGGGAGGGCTGCGCGGACGATCAGCGCGGCAGTAAAGTGTGATGTTTGCTTGTTTCCTTGTTTCCTTGTGATTGTAGGGAGTTTTTACCTCTGTTCGGTTTTTGGTTTAGTTTTTTTTTTTTTTTTTTTTACCATGTGGGGTTTGTTTTGTTATGCCTACCTTTCTGGGTGCCTAACCCCGGTCAATGGGAGATAAGGAAAACCCCAACCACAAAGGGGTTTTCCAGGGCCATTGCTCCCTGAAACCTCTCTGAAGGGGCCAGGTTCTGGCGCTGGTCCCTGGTAGGTCTGAACTCCTTAGCTAATGTCCCGGTCTAATATAACATACATTAGCCCGATAAGCTCCAGGGAGCCTCCGGGGCTCACCCAGAAAATGGCGTTTCATTACATTCAACGCTCGTTTATTTAGCTTTTTCACATCCAACCTAAGAACTGAAGGTTGGGTCGCCGGCGGATGGGTCTGGGGCTCCCCCTTTCCCTTCCAGGAAAGGGAGTAGGGGGGGGGGGGTTGTTGCGCAGACAGCGGCACGGCAACATGATGACGTCATGCTAGTTTACTAATTTTTGTTTGGGGAGTTCTGTCCACCTGTTCGACTTTTGGTCACAATACTTTTACCAGAATAGGGGTTTGTTTTGGGGTACTTACCTTTCTGGGTGCCTGTCCCGGTTGATGGCAGATATAGAATGCTCCCAACCACAGGGGGATTTCTATAGGCCATTGCTCCTTGTGCCTCTCTAGAGGGAGCCAGGTTCTGGCTCGTGGTCCCCGGTAGGCAAGAACTTCATACATTGACTGATGTCAGACAGATATGCATATCCATCCAGCCTGGATAGCTCCGGGGAGCCTCAGGGACTCACCCAGAATATGGCGCTTCATTACATTCAACGCTGGTTTTTTGGTTATATTTTTGAATAAGGCAAACGTTGGACAGCTTTTAAATTCATTAGGGAGTGAGTTCCATAGACTAGGTCCCTTTATTTGCAAAGAGTGTTTACACAGATTAAGTTTGACTCTGGGGATATCAAAGAGATATTTATGTTTGGAGTGGTGATTATGTGTTCTATTACATCTGTCCAGGAAGAGTTTCAGAACAGGGTTTGCACTTAAGAAAAGGGTTTTGTAAATGTAATTGACACAAGAGAATATGTGGAGTGAATTTAATGTTTAGTATGTTTAGGGATTTGAACAGGGGAGCTGTGTGTTGTCTGAAAGCAAAGTTTGTTATTGTCCTGATAGCAGATTTTTGCTGGGTGATGATGGGCTTGAGATAGTTTGCAGAGGGTAATCCCATGCACAGATACCATAAGTAAGATAGGGATAGATAAGTGCATAATATAGTGAGAGTAGAGCAGAGTAGAGAACATAATATCTGATCTTAGAGAGTATACCAGCTGTTTTCGAGACTTTCTTAGTTATGTGTTGTATGTTGGTGCTGAAGTTGAGTCTCTCGTCTAAGTATAGGCCTAAGAACTTTCTATCATTTTTAATGTTGCCATATATGTCATATTGCCAACTTTAAGAAAATTAGATGCCATTTTATTCATAGAGTGGTTTTTGCACAGAATAATATTACTTTATATTTTCAGAACAAATCTAAAGTTGGAATCCCTCGTCAAATTGATGAGTCTGAAATTGATACACCAGCAGATGAAGATGATGATGTAAAAGAAGAACGTTCAAATGTTGCCGCTGCTATTAGAAATGGTGACACGGCTTCTACAGTGCTCATCTATGTAAGTATTTTTCAAAGAGTACAAATCCAGTGTTGAATGTTATGAAACTGCATTTTCCAGGTGAGACCCAGAGGCTTCCCGGAGCTATCCAGGCTGATATGTAAATCATTAGACTTTGGCATCAGTCAGTGTGAATGGAGTTCTAGGCCTATTGGTGACCACGAAGCAGAACCTGGCCCCCCTCAGAGAGGTATGAGGAGCAATGGCCTATAGAAATGCACATGGGATTTGGAGCATTCTGTGTCTACCACTGACCAGGCCAGGCACCCAGAAAGGTAACCACCTCAAAACAAAAACCTAATCTGGTTAAAAATGACTAAAATAGATTAACGAGTGGACAGAACTCACCAAATGAAAACGAGCAAATGAGCATGACATCACACATGTCGCGCCGCATGTCTGTGCAGCTGCCTCCTTCTCAGGAGGGAAAAAGGTGAGCCCCAGACCCATCGCGCTGGCTATCCACACCTCAGATCAAGGCAAGATGTCAAAGCACACAAAAAAAATGCCAACTGGGGGAAGAGGGGGTGTTGAGGAGCCTCTAGGTCTCACCCAGAAAATGGCATTTCATTACATTCAACGCTGGTTTTCTGGGGGGAGCCACTTCTGCTCCCTGGAGCTACATCACCAAAGACGAAAACTAGAGGGACTTACTCGGGAGGCAGTTGAGGCTCGCACCTCAACTCGAAGTCAAGACAACAGGCAGCAACCGTCGACCCAAAGTGACACAGGAACACTTACGAGGTAGCATATAGCCAAGACCCTGTTCGACAGTCAAAAACCCCGTGCCCAAATGTCGGCCCACGACACATTACCTAAGACGGTAGCCAGCGCAGCAAACTTACAAAAGTCATGGGCATGGGAATAGACCACAGGCTGGCTAAACCGAATAACCCTGCGAACGACCTGAGAGACTCAAACCCTAGAACAGGGAAGAAGGGAAACTGGATCAATCCAAAACCCGTCTCCGGGCACAGAGGCTGTGGCACACAAATAATGGTGGAGAGCCACAACCGGACACAACACACGATGGACCCCGGCCTGATCAATCAAGCATCAACAACCCAAGGACCCCTCTGGAAAGCACCAGTCTCATTCTTTGCCAGAAAAGAAGGAGACGGCTGTAAACGAACAAACCTATCACTTCGACCAAAAGGGCAGAAACCTCTTCGCCAAAGGAGAGCATGAAGCTCCTCGACCCAACCCCAGAGGTCAATGCCTATAAGAAAAGAGCCTTAGAAAAACAATCCTGAACTGAAAGGGCCACAACAAACCAAGGAAAGATAGATAAGAGAGCACTCTACCCAAAGACCAGGACGGCTCAGGTGGCGCACGAGCAGGCCAGAGGTGAAACAATGTCTGAGACTGCTTGCGAAACGGTGCAGAAGTAACATCGATACTGAAAGCAAGCTGCAGCGGCTCTGCCAACACCGCACAATATGAGGTGACAGCATTCGGCATAAGATGATGGTCTTGAAATAGCCATGAGAGAAAAGACAAAACCTTACCAGAAAGCGAAGTACAGCAACGAAGAGACAAAAAGAAACAGAAGGACCGCAAGGAAACTTGATACTGCTGCCGAGACGAAGCCCGCAGGTGAGACACCATCAAGAAGCCATCTGACTTGAGTCAAAAAGAACAAATGCGAAGACTCGAGAAGATCGAACCAGCCTCATAACGGACCGGACCGATTTGCTGAAAGAGGCTGACCCGCGGGAAAACCTGCGGGTTCGGACATCGAGCAAGCAGCGCCTGAAACTAAGTCTGGGCTGGCCACCATGGGGCCAACAGGACTACTCTTCCCCTGGTAAGTCTCCAAGTCAGCCAGGACCTGGAGCAACAGTTGAACCAGGGTGAAGAGGTTCAGGAACCCCCACCTCAACCAGTCCTGCCTGGTCGACCCCCGACGAAGGCATCAACCTTGACGGCCTCGCAGTCGGGGAAGGGCGCCATATATACTGGCAGATGCCTTGAGCATGCCGACGCGAAGAGGACCACCTCCAGGCACCCGAACATCTGGTAGAGCCAACTGAATGAGTCAAGTGTCAACCGTCCATTTTGTGGACAGAGGAATGAACCAGGACAGGCCATCCGCCAGGACGTTGAACACCCCCTGGACAGGAACGGCAGGTGTCCAGGAGAGCCAAACCCCGAGAACTCAACAGACGAGTCACCCAAAGCGACCAGCCCCAAGAACCAAGGACTGCATCCAACCCCCCTCGGTTCAGGCAAAGAACTATCCGGGAGCAGTCTGAATTGAGCTGGATCATTGATCTGCGGGCGACCCGAACCCTCCGAAGGGAAAACTAAACCGTTGCGAACACCCGCACCATGCAGTGGCTTCGATGGAAGGACGGACCCCACTGCCGCTAGCCAGCCTGGTAGGCACTGGTCACAAAACCTGAGTCGAGAAACGACGCATCCGTGAACACATTGAGCGAGGGCTTGGGTAGACGCCAAGGAGGAAGCTGGCGATGCAAGGTCCGGGGTGCAGCTTTGTGTTGCGTCGTCGCCTTGTGTGTTTGGCCCCCCCCCCCCTTTCCCTGAAACAATCACATGCAGAACCGCACCCGAAGAAGAGACTCCAGAGGGAGAGACAAGGAAGTAGTCTGAGAGTCCTTGTTGGGTCACTGACACCTTGACCCAGAGTCTTGCAAGTTGTGTTCTCTGCATGTTCTCCAGTACTCTCCTGATGTCCTTGCTGTTAAGAGTACAAGCGGCATCCGCGTTGCATGCTCGGTTAGGTTGCTGCAACATGCTAGGTTGGTTCCCACCCGGATGCCCCGGGGCCACCCGCTTTAGTTAGGTGTTGTTTGCCCCTTTCTGCTTCCTGTTCCCAGCTCCTGATCGTCTGTGGGTTTCAGGGTCAGGGCAGGGTTTAGTTAGTGACGAGACTCGGGTGACTTTTGGGGCTGCCCCGTTCGGGTTAGGGACTGAGGTTTTCGAGCTTGGTCCTCCTGCTGAAGCTTCTGGGATCTTACCAGCGGCCCGTTCTTTGCAGCCTTTCCTCTGGACTCTTACTTTTCTTTAACCCTTAAACTGCGCATGGCATATATATACTATATACTGAACACACTTAGGGTGCCAGTACCCTTAACCCTCAAACCGCTAGGGGCCCAAATGGAATTCACACCCACAGGCGCAACAACAATTGTAACATATTACCTCACCCAAAATGAAAGCTGTTTAAATCATTGCATAGTAAGAACTGTTTAGTGTTTGCAGGTTATAGTTGTGTGTGTGTAAACTAAAAGTCTTTGACAATGTAATAAGTTATTACGAAACGCGTTCAAGTGTCGCGTCACACTAGAAATAAAAAAGAATTTTGGAGAATTGATTTTTCAATTATCATCAACAGTGAAAAGAAACATAAGAAATATTGAGAAAATTTGTGTTAGAATTATTAATCTTACTTTTTCGGTCATATTTAATAATAATATATATATTGTGACGGTAACGCGTTGGTGTTCGGCTGTTTAATGCTAGGGGTATGGCCTCGTCACATAGTTATAAAAAAAATAGAAAAACTGGAACTTCGTCTGTGGTAAGGTAAGGAGAAGACACACAAAACACAAGTAAACTTTAACAATGAAATTTTAATTACGTTAAATAAATCAAAACATGAAAATAATGCACAAACAAATATGTATAATAAAATCAATCAATCAAAATAATAAGAATTCTTAAATGACAAAATGAAAAGTTACGTTAAGGCAAAATAACAAGAAGTGCAATACAACAGTAAGTGGGAGGTGCTGGAATATTGGCTTAAAGCCACCACCTCTCTCAGTACACTCTAGAGTCTAGCTGGGAGGAGTGCTGGCTACGAAAGCACGGAACATTCTGAGGACTGATGTTGGGGCGACCCCAGACATCAGGTAGTATTGGGGCGAGTGCAGGTGCAGCCAGACCGGCGACCAATCAGCGGAGCCGTAGCGATCAACGGGTAGTTTGGTGGTTGGAGTTCGAACAGGTGGCTGGTTGCATACGTTTCTGCTCACCCTGGCAAGCCTTGCTGGTGCTGGTGTTGTTGTCGTTGTTGGACATTTCTTCCATAGTCTTTTTATATAATTGTGAAGACGTAATTTTGGAGGGAAGAGCAGGCTCAATCTCTTGAAGGAGATTATCGTCACAACTCTCCCCCGAAGCCTGCGGTTCTGGAAGAAGTACGTCGTTATGTGGTGGAGTAATGGATGGAGTCGCTTCTACTTCATAAACTCTGGAGAGATCATGGGCTAAGATGTTGTCAGACTCTTGGTATAGCGTGTCTCCAGGTTGAATTTCTGCAGGTAGCAAGCCCATAGTAGAAGACGTTGAGATGAGAAGTGGGCGTGCTGCAGGAGGTGTAGGGTGGTGTGGTCCGTGTTGATGGTGGACCGAGCACTTTTCAGGTGTGGAGTGAAGTGCTGAAGCTTCAGGATGAGGAAGAGTAGCTCCTTGCCAATTGTTCCGTCGTTCCTTGTAGCAGTAGTCGCTGACAGGTGAATTCTTCTCGCCTCGTTGCTGCATCACGACACCACCATCGTCGGTACCATTGGCGTCGACATGGAGGATGTAGGGCTTATCTGACGAGGTGAGAGTGGAATTAGAAGAGGGCATAGGAGCACGAGTATTATCCTGAAAGCATTTGGGAAGATCATTAAGGATTTTGGAATTAGAAAGCGCCGACTCTTGTCAGTGCTTTCGGGAGAAGAAGCTGGGATGGTCTCACTGTGGATGTAGGGTTCTGTGAAGGTGGAATAATTAGTCAAGACAGTGGGAGGAGTACCATTATATTGCTTCAGGAGGTTGACGTGGCACAGCTGGGTCTTCCGCCGCCTATCTGGAGTCTCTATCACATAATTATTATTATTCCTGCACTCTTTGACGCAGTAGGGTCCTGAAAATCTGTTTTGTAAAGGTGAACCTGGGATAGGGAAATAAGCAAGGACGAAGTCTCCCGGCTTGAATTTTCTTACTTTGCTGGTCTGGTCGTAATGAGTCTTCATTCTCACCTGGGC